ACACACCGCCATAGTGACAGTATTGGGCAGCGTCACACATCCTGTGAGTGGACACACCACCATAGTGACAGTATTGGGCAGCGCCACTCATCCTGTGAGTGGACACACCGCCATAGTGACAGTATTGGGCAGCGTCACTCATCCTGTGAGTGGACACACCGCCATAGTGACAGTATTGGGCAGCGTCACTCATCCTGTGAGTGGACACACCGCCATAGTGACAGTATTGGGCAGCGTCACTCATCCTGTGAGTGGACACACCGCCATAGTGACAGTATTGGGCAGCGCCACTCATCCTGTGAGTGGACACACCACCATAGTGACAGTATTGGGCAGCGCCACTCATCCTGTGAGTGGACACACCGCCATAGTGACAGTATTGGGCAGCGCCACTCATCCTGTGAGTGGACACACCGCCATAGTGACAGTATTGGGCAGTGCCACTCATCCTGTGAGTGGACACACCGCCATAGTGACAGTATTGGGCAGCGTCACTCATCCTGTGAGTGAACACACCGCCATAGTGACAGTATTGGGCAGCGCCACTCATCCTGTGAGTGGACACACCGCCATAGTGACAGTATTGGGCAGCGCCACTCATCCTGTGAGTGAACACACCGCCATAGTGACAGTATTGGGCAGCGTCACTCATCCTGTGAGTGGACACACCGCCATAGTGACAGTATTGGGCAGCGTCACTCATCCTGTGAGTGAACACACCGCCATAGTGACAGTATTGGGCAGCGCCACTCATCCTGTGAGTGAACACACCGCCATAGTGACAGTATTGGGCAGCGTCACTCATCCTGTGAGTGGACACACCGCCATAGTGACAGTATTGGGCAGCGTCACTCATCCTGTGAGTGGACACACCGCCATAGTGACAGTATTGGGCAGCGTCACTCATCCTGTGAGTGGACACACCGCCATAGTGACAGTATTGGGCAGCGTCACTCATCCTGTGAGTGAACACACCGCCATAGTGACAGTATTGGGCAGCGTCACTCATCCTGTGAGTGGACACACCGCCATAGTGACAGTATTGGGCAGCGTCACTCATCCTGTGAGTGGACACACCGCCATAGTGACAGTATTGGGCAGCGCCACTCATCCTGTGAGTGGACACACCGCCATAGTGACAGTATTGGGCAGCGCCACTCATCCTGTGAGTGAACACACCGCCATAGTGACAGTATTGGGCAGCGTCACTCATCCTGTGAGTGGACACACCGCCATAGTGACAGTATTGGGCAGCGTCACTCATCCTGTGAGTGAACACACCGCCATAGTGACAGTATTGGGCAGCGCCACTCATCCTGTGAGTGGACACACCGCCATAGTGACAGTATTGGGCAGCGCCACTCATCCTGTGAGTGGACACACCGCCATAGTGACAGTATTGGGCAGCGCCACTCATCCTGTGAGTGAACACACCGCCATAGTGACAGTAATGGGCAGCGTCACTCATCCTGTGAGTGGACACACCGCCATAGTGACAGTATTGGGCAGCGTCACTCATCCTGTGAGTGGACACACCGCCATAGTGACAGTATTGGGCAGCGTCACTCATCCTGTGAGTGAACACACCGCCATAGTGACAGTATTGGGCAGCGTCACTCATCCTGTGAGTGAACACACCGCCATAGTGACAGTATTGGGCAGCGTCACTCATCCTGTGAGTGGACACACCGCCATAGTGACAGTATTGGGCAGCGTCACTCATCCTGTGAGTGAACACACCGCCATAGTGACAGTATTGGGCAGCGCCACTCATCCTGTGAGTGGACACACCGCCATAGTGACAGTATTGGGCAGCGCCACTCATCCTGTGAGTGGAACACACCGCCATAGTGACAGTATTGGGCAGCGCCACTCATCCTGTGAGTGGACACACCGCCATAGTGACAGTATTGGGCAGCGCCACTCATCCTGTGAGTGGACACACCGCCATAGTGACAGTATTGGGCAGCGCCACTCATCCTGTGAGTGGACACACCGCCATAGTGACAGTATTGGGCAGCGCCACTCATCCTGTGAGTGGACACACCGCCATAGTGACAGTATTGGGCAGCGCCACTCATCCTGTGAGTGGACACACCGCCATAGTGACAGTATTGGGCAGCGCCACTCATCCTGTGAGTGGACACACCGCCATAGTGACAGTATTGGGCAGCGCCACTCATCCTGTGAGTGGACACACCGCCATAGTGACAGTATTGGGCAGCGTCACTCATCCTGTGAGTGGACACACCGCCATAGTGACAGTATTGGGCAGCGTCACTCATCCTGTGAGTGGACACACCGCCATAGTGACAGTATTGGGCAGCGCCACTCATCCTGTGAGTGGACACACCGCCATAGTGACAGTATTGGGCAGTGCCACTCATCCTGTGAGTGGACACACCGCCATAGTGACAGTATTGGGCAGCGCCACTCATCCTGTGAGTGGACACACCGCCATAGTGACAGTATTGGGCAGCGTCACTCATCCTGTGAGTGGACACACCGCCATAGTGACAGTATTGGGCAGCGCCACTCATCCTGTGAGTGGACACACCGCCATAGTGACAGTATTGGGCAGTGCCACTCATCCTGTGAGTGGACACACCGCCATAGTGACAGTATTGGGCAGCGTCACTCATCCTGTGAGTGGACACACCGCCATAGTGACAGTATTGGGCAGCGCCACTCATCCTGTGAGTGGACACACCGCCATAGTGACAGTATTGGGCAGCGTCACTTATCCTGTGAGTGGACACACCGCCATAGTGACAGTATTGGGCAGCGTCACTCATCCTGTGAGTGGACACACCGCCATAGTGACAGTATTGGGCAGCGCCACTCATCCTGTGAGTGGACACACCGCCATAGTGACAGTATTGGGCAGCGCCACTCATCCTGTGAGTGGACACACCGCCATAGTGACAGTATTGGGCAGCGCCACTCATCCTGTGAGTGGACACACCGCCATAGCAGCATGTACAACACTCCCCAATAGGAAGAAAACCCGCTGGGTTGTTCATCCTGTCACTTGTACCCAGACACAGCTGGGACTTGCTTAACTGTCTCAAGTGAACAGCTTAAATGGAGTTATACATATTCCATGGCACACCGTCATACATATGCCCCATGTTATACACTCTTACACATGTATGTTAATTTCTTCATAAATTATACACATACACAAGGGGGTCTGGTAGCTGAGTGGATAGCGCGCTGGACTTGTAATCCTGTGGCACGGGTTCGATGTTTTTTTCACTGTTACGGACTGCTTCCTGGGGGTGTGGGGGTGTGGATGTGTGTGAAAAAAATGAGTTAGTTAGTAGTTAGTAACAGCTGATAGACAGTTGAGAGTCGGGCCGAAAGAGCAGAGCTCAACCCCAGCAAGCACAACTAGGTGAACACACACACACACACACACACACACACACACACACACACACACACACACACACACACACACATATGTATGTATGAATACATATGAATACATATGTATTCCACATACATATTAGAGTCATACGACTTGTGCATGAAGAACAAATCCGAGGCAACAGAGTTCCGCAAAGGAACTGTGTAAGTCGTTGTGTTCTATATAATAACACAAGATAACACAAGATAACACAAGATAGTAAGGATGTCCCGGCAAGTTACGACCATTAGTCTCGCCACTCACCACCTTGTTCTCTGAAGGAATGGCTTCATTCCTCTCTCTAAATATTGGTGTAGAATGTTGTGTTTACACCAGTCTCGCGGTGGTGGGCCGCTCACTCCACGTGCCACCGGCGCTACACCTGTATAAACTTCCTTATCACGTTAGCGTGTGTGTAAACATGTGTACAGATATGTAAATGTTTGAGCACAACTTGAGCGCTCCCCCGGCGGCCGCTGGCCCCTTCGGGACTCCCTTAGGGACTACCACAAGTCACATCATTCGTCACGACTCTACAGTCTTCTACGGTATAGGAGCGTTGAGGAGCTGCTCTTGGGACGTCCCTGGCAGCTAGGCCAATGTGCAAAGGCTTAATAAAACCGGAAAACAGGAAAACTTGCCACCCTGGGAGTTGATGGAACCAGGAGATAGCAAGCCACCCAGGTGAGCTGAGGGTCCCACGGGGTGACAAGCCACCCAGGTGAGCTGAGGGTCCCAGGAGGTGACAAGGCACCCAGTGGGAGCTAGCCAAACCGGCCGCACCGCCGTCTCAGAGTTCCCTGACAGACCAGACACGTTCCTACACTGACTGCGTCAGGAGCCCCGCCTCATAGCCCGTTGTTGACACTCTTCAGTGCTGTTTAGTCTGGTGTAGACCACAGAGTACTAACACCACTGGTAAAAGTAGAGAGGTAGACGAGGTGACTCTTTGAGAGTCCTGCCACACCACTGAACACTTACACTCACATGACCACTGTGGTAGGGAACACCTGTGGCAGTGACAGGTGTTGAAACTGTGTTCTCTTCACAATTCCCACTACACTATTTGCCTGGTTTGAACAAGTGTGTCAATTTTGAGAGAGAGAGAGAGAGAGAGAGAGAGAGAGAGAGAGAGAGAGAGAGAGAGAGAGAGAGAGAGAGAGAGAGAGAGAGAGAGAGAGAGAGAGAGAGAGGGAGAGGGGGAGGGGGAGGGGAGAGGGTATTGGAAGCTGCATAAGCAAGAAGGCGAGAGGAGTAAGAGCAGTTTCATTAAGGTTGTGGGTTGTGTGTGTTATAAGTGGTGGAGATACACGAGGTTGCCCACGAACACCCAGCGATGGCCGGCCGGCCGGCGGGGGGAGGGGGGGGGGCAGACGCACATCAAACAACATAAATTTTATCTTGTGTGTTTAGGTGTTCCTCGAGGAGTGTGTGTGTGTGTGTGTGTATGTGTGTGTGTGTGTGTGTACTCACCTATTTGTGCTTGCGGGGGTTGAGCTTTGGCGCAACCCGTGTATATGTGTATGTGTGTGTGTTTATGTGTGTGTTTTAGAGTTATGTCAAGTAACGTGTTGTATTGTCGTTACAGATCACTGAGACGAGCCATTGTGTGGCGCCGACACAGGTTCCTTCACCTACACAGGTAAGGTCTGGCCCGCTGCTCTCGTGTCTGGGGCGAGCTGCATCAGGGGGGTGATGTAGAGGGGTTGCTCTTGTCCGTCCCTGTGTCCCACAGGGAAGGGTGTGGCGGCGTCAGGCTGGGGCTGGTGTAGGGGGGGTGGTGCTGGCCATCACTGTGGCAACTTGACCCTAGGGGGGGGGGGGGATGTGCCCTCGTGGTAATCACTTACAACCCTACGTAATTAGTGCTGTTATCTACTCCCTATCCATGGTTAAGTTGGATTAATTTTACGTTAGCTTAAAAATGTTATATTATTCTCAAAAAAATGTGAATTATGAAATTCAAAAACGGTTTCAGCATCTTCTAGAATTTGACATTGAAGAAATATACCACAATAATTTAAATTTTAAACCCTGGATTTATAATACAACACAGTTATAATTTTAGAATGCTCTCTGCTCCGGACAAAGTTTCACTTGGCGGCTTACAAATATAATATGACTGGAACCCTGTTAAACCTTGAGAGCATCAGAAATATCTAGACAAATATCGAGTTGTTTAACCAGGAAGATTGACCATTGGTTAGCACACTTTACCCTGAGAGGCGGCGTGACTGTGAACCACAGAGGGCGGCAGAACTGGAGCTGCCAGGCGCCGGGTCTTGGAGGGACCTGACGTTGGATGGATGGGATGGGACGGGACCCCATGAAGGTGACAATGGCTTTGAACGAGCATTGGAATTACGGAGGATTGAAATTGAAATTGAAAGAGACCGGGAATGCACACACACACACACACACACACACACACACACACACACACACACACACACACACACACACACACACACACACACACACACACACACACACACACACACACACACACACACACACACACACACACACACACACACACACACACACACACACACACACACACACACGAGAGAAATGAAGAGGGAAAAAGAACCACATCAAATGAAGGAAGGTAGAGAAATAGAGGAGAAAGAGAGGGAAGAGAGAGAGAGACAATTTAGCAGCCATCATAAGGGCGCCTCGCTCGCTGTTAATAGCGGCGAGAGGCTCCTCCGACCACCGCCGACACACTCCCTATTTACGAATACAAATTTAATTAAAACCAGGTAGCATATCGTGTGACAACGATTTTGGTCTCTCTCGTGACAACATGGTTGGGTCAGGTATATAGCATTACAAACCTACTGATGTAGGTTTGTAATGCTGTTGCAGGTGTGTGTGTGTCTTGGTCGCCTAGTTGTGCTTGCAGGATCGAGCACCGGCTCTTGAGCCCCGGTTTTCGACCGTCATTACTTCAGTGCAATGATTCATGTCCCCGCGGGTTTTCTTATCATGTTTACAGTTAAAGTTGTGTATCAGACTGGCTTGGGCAGCTTCCTCGTCCGGGCGGGTCCTCTTATTTACGACATTTACACGGAAAAAGTTCTTTCTGACAGCTCTATATCAGGTGTTTTGCTGCTGCTCCAGGTGTGTATTGCTGTTGCAGGTGTGTCCTGCTGCTGCAGGTGTGTCTTGTTGCTGCAGGTGTGTCTTGCTTCCCAGAGGCCCACATAAAAAAAATATCATCAGCGGCATATGCTAGGTTGGCCAACATAAGAACTGTCTCTAGAAACTTGTGTAAGGAATCGTTCAGGACCTTGTATACCACTTATGTCAGACCAATCCTGGAGTATGCAGCTCCAGCCTGGAGTCCATACCTAGTCAAACACAAGGCAAAGTTAGAGAAGATTCATAGGTATGCCACCAGACTTGTCCCAGAACTGAGAGGTATGAGCTACAGGGCAAGGCTACAGGAGCTGAACCTCACGTCTCTGGAAGACAGAAGAGTAAGGGGAGACATGATCACCACCTACAAAATTCTCAGGGGAATTGACAGGGTGGACAAAGACAAACTGTTTAGCACGGGTGGGACACGAACAAGGGGACACAGGTGGAAATTTAGTACCCAAATGAGCCACAGAGACGTTAGAAATAATTTGTTCAGTGTCAGAGTAGTTAACAGATAGAATGCATTAAGCAGTGATGTGGTGGAGGCTGACTCCATACACAGTTTCAAATGTAGATATGATAGAGCCCAGTAGGCTCAGGAACCTGTACACCAGTTGATTGACAGTTGAGAGGCGGGACCAAAGCTCAACCCCCCGCAAGCACAACTAGGCGAGTACACAGGCTTCCTGTCCCGACAACGGAAAAGGGCGAGTGATGCTGCCCTGTAAACTCGCTTATCGGGACAAAATATAACAATAAAAATAAACCAGATTGATACATCGTGGACCTAGGCGGCCATTCATGGTGGCGTGGGTGTGTGAGTGTGTGAGTGTGTGTGTGTGAGTGTGTGTGTGTGAGTGTGTGTGTGTGAGTGTGTGAGTGTGTGTGTGTGAGTGTGTGTGTGTGAGTGTGTGTGTGTGTGTGTGTGTGTGTGTGTGTGAGTGTGTGAGTGTGTGTGTGTGAGGCGCACTCACACGTCTGGGTGACCAGGTTCAAGGTTACGGGGTAACGGTGTGGTCTCCAGCGTGAGGAATGTGGGAGAACCCCCCACCCCCTCCCACGCTCCCATCCCACCCTCCCACAACTCCCATCCCGAGCACCAGAAATGCCTGAACCTATTACCACTATCTTACCTTGCCTTAATTTCGGGCATCAACGTCCCCGCGGCCCGGTCTCTAACCAGCGCCCCCCCCCCCTTTCCCAGACTCCAGGCTACGCCAAGAGGAGACGCCCCGCTCCCACAGCTGATGGACCTAGAGCTGGCGAACGAAGCCCACCTATACACGTCATACCCCGCCAAACACACGACGTCGCTAAAACGTTACAACACGTTTGAAGACGTAACAAGTTGTAACAACATTCTAATACATCATAGAATACGTTATGATAAGACGTAAGCACTTTATTACAAGTTGTAACAAGCAGAAAGTAAGGAGAGTTACGTTATGTGTTTGAAAGGGTTTAATATACTAAACAACGCTCCCCTCAATAAAAAATAAATTAATAATAATGGGAAAATTGATAAGAGTCATTCGAACCAGGACACAGATTAGTTAGTAGATGGAATGCATTAGGCAGTGATGTGGTGGAGGCTGACTCCATACACAGTTTCAAATGTAGATATGATAGAGCCCAGTAGGCTCAGGAACCTGTACACCAGTTGATTGACAGTTGAGAGGCGGGACCACAGAGCCAGAGCTCAACCTCCGCAAGCACAATTAGGTGAGTACAATTAGGTGAGTACACCTGGTACTGCCAAACACACGCCTCAGACCGCTCAACCATGACATGGTAAAAAGCAATGAAAATTGAGATTCAACTGAATCCTCTAGATGGGGGTTTCTGAGGCTTCCACTGAAGCCAGGTCAAGGCTTCACTCATTCCCCCCTCCCCCCCCTATGCACTCTAGCTGTGGTAATGGCACTTCTACCACCACCGCTTCGCTTCTCTTTTGAAGAGAAGCGGTGGTGTTAGAACTCCTATAACACCCCACATGAATCTTGAAGAGCATGTCGTGGTGTAGTGGGGTAAGGCTTGTGTGCTTGGGAGTACCCCAGGGGACAGGTTCGACTCCTCCGCACGGCTCCTACTGATGTTCTCACTGATACGTCACGTTAAAGGGATTTATTTGTGATGATAGTAAATTATTATTATTATTTATTTACGATTATATATATATATATATATATATATATATATATATATATATATATATATATATATATATATATATATATATATATATATATATATATATGTCGTACCTAATAGCCAGAACGCACTTCTCAGCCTACTATTCAAGGCCCGATTTGCCTAATAAGCCAAGTTTTCATGAATTAATGTTTATTCGTCTACCTAACCTACCTAACCTAACCTAACCTAGCTTTTTTTGGCTACCTAACCTAACCTTACCTATAAATATAGGTTAGGTTAGGTTAGGTAGGGTTGGTTAGGTTCGGTCATATATCTACGTTAATTTTAACTCCAATAAAAAAAAATTGACCTCATACATAGAGAAAAGGGTTGCTTTATCATTTCATAAGAAAAAAATTATAGTAAATATATTAATTCAGGAAAACTTGGCTTATTAGGCAAATCGGGCCTTGAATAGTAGGCTGAGAAGTGAGTTCTGGCTACTAGGTACGACATATGTCTATATATATATATATATATATATATATATATATATATATATATATATATATATATATATATATATATATATATATAAATAAATGTTGAAATACATATGAAGACGCTGCCACACACACACTCGCAGCTCCCTGACAAGAGAGACCAATCACCTCTATAAACAACATAAAAGTTAATGATCCGGTTACTTTACCGACAATTTTCAGCCACTTGACAATGTAACTAATATTAACACGAACACAGAAGTCTTTGAAAGATAAAATGCCAACATGCCCGAGCACACAGCCCCCTGGTTCCGACTCCTGGGATTCAATATTCATAAAGAAATATTCAAAGTACCTTTAACACGAGCCCTCGGTGTAATATGGAGAAAAGTCATGGGTACTTGCGAGATATCAGAAGCACTTCAATCAGCAGATATAGCTTCCGTGCACAAGGGCGGTAGTAAAGCATTTTCTAACAAATTATAGACCAGTCATACTAACATCACTCCTAATAAAAGTTTTTGAAAGAGTGATTAGGAATGAAGTCTCCGGTTGTATGGAGAACAATACACGTCACAATCCCAGGTCAACATAGATTTAGAGCACAATTACTCATCTATGACAAAATCACGGAAGCATTAGAAGAAAAACAGAATGCAGACGCCCTGTACATATAATTTGCAAAGGCATTTGATAATTGTAACAATGGAATGATAACTTACAAAATATGAAAAACAATAATGGACAAAGTAGGACGATGGATTTTAAATTTTCTGACAATTTTTTTTTGCACCACTGATTTTTTCTAATTCTCATATCAGATATAAAAAAAATACTAGTCCCAACTTCGTGTCATGGTATGTGGATGATATTGTATAACTACCTCCACAAGACTGTCACTTTCTTAGCTAAATGAACGATGGGGTTCAGTTTCTGAACCCATTAAGTGCCTCTGTAACCCTTTACATTACCGCCCCCGGGATAGGTATGGGGCGCATAATGAATGAATGCCACTCGGCCCGCCGCAATATCCTGCCTCTCCCGCCGCTTATATCCAATAGAGTTACTCTCTAGGCTCGCCAGAGTTAAGAGTTCAATAAACAAACGACGATGGGTCTTATCGAGAAGTAATTTGTAGTGTTTTACTGTTTTAAACAGGTGTGTGTGTGTGTGTGTGTGTGTGTGTGTGTGTGTGTGTGTGTGTGTGTGTGTGTGTGTGTGTGTGGAGGCAGCTGCTGAGACTCTGACTTCATAAGGTTATCGGATTTCAATAATACAAATTCTGCAGCTCGTATGTTAAATGTTTTCCATCTGCTTTAGACAAGTATATAAGAACTTTATATAGTTAAAACACCTGCGATAATCTTGGTAATAAGGAGTCGATGAGTGATGTGTGTGGCGATAGCGGCCGGCTGTGCGGACACCCAGGCCGGCCGTGTAATGGCGCTACCCTGAAGACCTAGCCAACGCTAGTGGCACTCTTCCAGACTAATAAATACAAGCTGTTGGACCCACCAACTGTGGGAGCGTGGCGTCTCATCTTGTAGTAGTAGTGTGTTTACCACTGAGTTTTGTAACATCTTGAGGGTGTTCCACACCCTGGTAGCTTGGTGCTGTAGTGTGATGTTGAGTGGTTGTGTGTTCAGGGCTTCCTGGTGTTCCTGAATTGTTTGCTCATATGGTGGACGGTGTTTGGCTGCTCGCTGTTATTTTATTTTTACACTGCTTGTAATATTTGCATGTGGAGTAAGAGGGTTGTGTTGGGCAGCATTGGGTGTGTGCGGGTAGCCCGTTCTCGCCACGGCTCCCAAAGTAAAGAAATAAGTCATACTAAAATGCCCTAGCCTAACCTACTAGAGGACCCACGAACACAAAATGGGACATTATGTCCAATATCGCGGCCCGGTCGTCGACCAGGCCTCCTATAGTCACACATGTACAGTACACAGACTGCACATGCAACCACGGAGTCCAGGTCTACCCGAGACACCACCATTCTCTCACAGGCAGTGATGGCGGCACCAGCTAGTCTCATACAGCAGGCAGAGGCAATCATGCAGAATCCAAATGAACGAGGAGAGGTGAGAGGGGGAGAGAGAAAGAGAGAGAGAGGGGGGTGTGAGAGAGGAGAAAGTAAGGTGTGGTCAATAAAAGGTTAGAACACTGAGTGGAGCAATAACATGTGAGGAGAAAGAACTTAAGAGAAAGTGTGAGAAGAAAAACAATGAGAGACATGCCTCAGTCTGGTGTATCTATCCGGTACAGGCGTCCCTCCGTGTGCCCGGACGCCTTCTCTACACCAGGCGTCCCTCCGTGTGCCCGGACGCCTTCTCTGCACCATGCGTCCCTCTGTTACGGCCAACTTTGGCCAGTAACCGGGTTCTTTCTGTTAACGTGTCTTATAACTTCATCCTGATCCTACTCCAAGTCGATGGGAAGTCTTCAAGAACGGGCGGTGGCAAGTAACAGTGCAAAGAATAAAAGGGGAGGGTGAGGGGTGGGGGGATAAACAATAGATCTGCAGTGTTCATCAAATCCCGACGAATCCAATGCCTCCAGGTACTACGCGTCGTGCACGCTCAATGGTAACCACCAGCGAGTTCACCTTCCTCAACATTGGCCAGTCCACACACCGTATCGTCACAATGTCCCAATACCCCACATCCGCTCTCTAGAAACACACTGGCAGAGGGCTTCAACAACACGCTGACAGGGGTCACAATAATGTACAAGGGGTAGCTAACACCCTGGCAGAAGTGTAGCAACACACTAGCAGCACTTCTCAACAGACGGACACAACTGTCGTCTTGTAACGCCTCTCGGCCAAATCCCGGGTACGTCGATCCATAAAACACTACATAAATCCAGCAGCAAACACTGCTACTACCGACGGCGGCCACTTTGCCGTCTCACAGGACCAACTCAGGAGTTCTAGACTGCCCAAGGTGAACTGCCCTCCTCAGCGCAATCGTTTCCTTACGTCACATCTGTGAACATTGAACATAAATGTCATTAGCTAGACAGTATACTGGGTGACCTTAGGATAACACCCTTCCACCGGGGAACTGACATTGTAATTACATACACAACCTAGAAGGCGTTGACATCGTTATGCCACCCACTAGAGGTCCAACCCGTTCTCGCACTTTCTTACAGTCAATATTGACTTATTAAATACGTGCATATGTGACATACTAAATATACTAGTTTACCTTGAAAAGCTTCATAGAAAACACCGACCTTACCTAACCTTCTTAGTATGTTAAGATAAGCATCTTATTGCTTCGTAATTACAATTATTACTTAACCTATACCTATAATAGGTATATTACTTAACCTTAACAATTATTACTTAACCTATACCTTTTTTTTTGAGATATATACAAGAGTTGTTACATTCTTGTACCTATAATACCTATAACATATAATAGGTTAAGTAATAATTGTAATTACGAAGCAATAAGATGCTTATCTTAACATACTAAGAAGGTTAGGTAAGGTCGGTGTTTTCTATGAAGCTTTTCAAGGTAAACTAGTATGTTTAGTATGTCACATATGCACGTATTTAATAAGTCAATATTGACTATACGAAAGTGCGAGAACGGGTTGAGAGGTCATCGTCATCGACCTCACCGCCTAACTGAGGTATGAAACAGGAGCCTTTCACTGACGCCATGCCACCGCCAACAGATGGCGTTATCTGCGTCTCACCTAATACCTGGGAGTTGTAGTGCAGACCCATAGATGGCGCCAAAATTGCCACTCTACACTCCAGCAAGGGCGTTAATACCGTAACACCCTCCGTGTGCCCGGACGCCCCTCTCTACCCAGACATGGTGTGTGTGTACTTACCTAGTTGTGCTTGCGGGGGTTTAGCTCTGGCTCCTTGGTCCCGCCTCTCAACTGTCAATCAACTAATGTAGTGTGTGTGTGTGTGTGTGGTCAGTCAGCTCACAAGTGATCCAAGGCTCAATATCTGGCCAGGACAAGTAGACTCCTCCCACCTGAAGCCTCTACCATTCTATAAGTAAATAGTTAGTCTTGAGAGATAGGCAACTGTTGTGGGTTGCATCCTGGGGGTCTGTCAGTGGCGTCTAGGAGCCCCTCGATGACCCTAGCAGGCTTCGTGTCCCCTGACCTTGGTAAATCATATCAACTCACAAGCCCTTGTGTGATGTCAAGGAGTAGATTCTCTTTTATTTCCATATGTTTGACTGAGAGTGTCTCACTCCCTCCACAGTTCCCATTACGTTGTGATGGAGATGCTGCATCTTGTACACTCCTCGAGTGTGAGGATGACTCCTCGAGGGTGAGGATGACTCCTCGAGGGTGAGGATGACTCCTCGAGGGTGAGGATGACTCCTCGAGGGTGAGGATGACTCCTCGAGGGTGAGGATGACTCCTCGAGGGTGAGGATGACTCCTCGAGGGTGAGGATGACTCCTCGAGGGTGAGGATGACTCCTCGAGGGTGAGGATGACTCCTCGAGTGTGAGGATGACTCCTCGAGGGTGAGGTTGACTTCTCGAGGGTGACTCCTCTTATGAACGAGAAGTTGAACTCGTCATAACTTGACTTGTAATGTTCTCTGTTGCAAGTCTAGGCAAAGTCTGGAGGGTCATTTTGACTTTACATTGTCTAGCTGACAATACTGTGGCAGTGTTGTATCATATTGGAGGAAGGTTAAGGTGTTCCAAGTCTCTTGGCCGGACAGTAATACTTGTTATGGCGGTTTGATATGCTTAGCTGGCCACAGTTGTATTGCAAGCAATTTGCATGTTGCAGTTGTAGCAATAGAGTGGCTCAAGGTATGCCATTAAACATCACAAGCATGGAGGGAGGGAGGGGGTGGGGATTATCCAGTAGTCCAGCAGGATATTATCCAGTAGTCCAGCAGGATATTATCCAGTAGTCCAGCAGGATATTATCCAGTAGTCCACCAGGATATTATCCAGTAGTCCACCAGGATATTATCCAGTAGTCCAGCAGGATATTATCCAGTAGTCCAGCAGGATATTATCCAGTAGTCCACCAGGATATTATCCAGTAGTCCAGCAGGATATTATCCAGTAGTCCAGCAGGATATTATCCAGTAGTCCAGCAGGATATTATCCAGTAGTCCACCAGGATATTATCCAGTAGTCCAGCAGGATATTAACATTTACATTGCATGGTCTTGCATTTTGATTATCATATTTGTGAGTTTTATGCAGCCAGTCTAACCCATGATAATAATGGTCATGAGTTAGGAGTTACTCTCAGGGAAGGAGTTACTCTCAGGGAAGGAGTTACTCTCAGGGAAGGAGTTACTCTCAGGGAAGGAGTTACTCTCAGGGAAGGAGTTACTCTCAGGGAAGGAGTTACTAGTTGTTTGCGTCACCTTTAAGATTTGGCCACTGTCACCATCCTGGCCAGTAACTGATAATGTAACTAGTTTGTGGGTTAATTGTGTGATGGTGAATAGTGCTTGTTAGGAACAATGTAATAACTTGTATGGGCAGTTTACACTTGTCAGGAATAATATACAAATGTTGGTTTATTACTGAAAGTCGTGGAGTCTATATGGCTATATCACACTTAGGAACGACAAGCACAACCACCATTTTTAGAACCAGGCGTCAGTTGTGAGGTAGTGAGGAGTTAGTTGTGAGGAGTGAGGGTGTTGTCTGCTGGCTCAGGTTTCAAGTTATCTTACAAGTTACCTCGTTAAAGTGTACTTAAGATATCTGCCAGTGGTATTTGTTCGTAGTGAATCATTCATGTTAACGACACCGCATAAACCCTGAATGTTGGCTAGTTTATGAGGAGTTTGTTGTTGTTGAATTACTGGCTGTGAATCCCTCGTTACCTTGTGGCTCGTTGACCATAGTCATTTAATTAAATTTTGCCCAGTGGGGCGAGTTTATTGGGCAGCGCCACTCATCTTGTGAGTGAACACACCGCCATAGCAGCATGTACAACACTCCCCAATAGGAAGAAAACCCGCTGGGTTGTTCATCCCTGTCACTTGTACCCATAACAACTCATTTTATATCATCTACATCGTATGAATCCATCAACCTTTTACTTTTATTTAGGCAATTATTAAATATATCAGGAGTAGTATAGGCCCTGGTACTGACCCTTGTGACGCCTCATCTGTGACCTCTCTCTCCACTCTGAGGTCTCTCACGGTAGGTCTCTGTTTCCTATCAACGTGGTACTCTCTCTGAGCCCATTTAGCGCCCCAGCAGATACACCTGCTTGTGTATGCGGGTGTAATTTTAATTATTTGCTTGTTGAAGCGCGGTTTTCATATAACCTACATTCAATAGTTACTGTTACCTTGAGGTATTTTCGGAGCTTAGCGTCCCCGCGGCCCGGTCGTCGACCAGGCCTCCTCGTTGCTGGACTGGTCAACCAGGCTGTTGGACGTGGCTGCTCGCAGCCTGACGTATGAGTCACAGCCTGGTTGATCAGGTATCCTTTAGAGGTGCTTATCGAGTTCTCTCTTGAACACTGTGAGGGGTCGGCCAGTTATGTCCCTTATGTGTAGTGGAAGCGTGTTGAACAGTCTCGGGCCTCTGATGTTGATAGTTCTCTCTTGAACACTGTGAGGGGTCGGCCAGTTATGTCCCTTATGTGTAGTGGAAGCGTGTTGAACAGTCTCGGGCCTCTGATGTTGATAGTTCTCTCTAGAACACTGTGAGGGGTCGGCCAGTTATGTCCGTTATGTGTAGTGGAAGCGTGTTGAACAGTCTCGGGCCTCTGATGTTGATAGTTCTCTCTTGAACACTGTGAGGGGTCGGCCAGTTATGCCCCTTATGTGTAGTGGAAGCGTGTTGAACAGTCTCGGGCCTCTGATGTTGATAGTTCTCTCTTGAACACTGTGAGGGGTCGGCCAGTTATGTCCCTTATGTGTAGTGGAAGCGTGTTGAACAGTCTCGGGCCTCTGATGTTGATAGTTCTCTCTTGAACACTGTGAGGGGTCGGGCAGTTATGTCCCTTATGTATAGTGGAAGCGTGTTGAACAGTCTCGGGCCTCTGATGTTGATAGAGTTCTCTCTTCACAACAACACTGTGAGGGGTCGACCAGTTATGCCCCTTATGTGTAGTGGAGTATACTGTGGTATAGCTTCCTCCACACCCACTTTCTCTACACCAATATTTGAGAACTGACAGACGTGTTTAGATAAAATACTGAAAACAAAATTGTGTCAGAGGCTTAGCGCTCACGGGTGAGATTTTTTGAGGAGAGTCTAACTATAGACGGGTTGCCATGGAGACCACAGTGGGCGGGGAGTGAGGCGACTGGATTTAAAAACAATTAATGGTTTTGTTATATTACTTAATGTTTTGCGTCGTAGCTTTTGTGTAATCCAAAATCCTGGTCAGGTATCACAAGTTGACTTGCTGTAGATCCCTGCACACACGCTGTGAGCTTGTACTGCCTGTACACACACTGTACAAGCAGTACAACCCTCCTCCACCCCACAAACTTGTTGCGGGGGGGGAGGGGTGTGCCTATATGTACACAGTGTGTGGGGGGGGGATAGGGGTAGTGTTAGCACGCGTGTGTCAATAGTGTGTGTGTGAGTTTCAGATCATGACCTGGTAATGTGCTAAGCTTTGTTCCACTCTCCTGGATCTGAATGAAGGCTTGTAGACACTGGATAAAAATTGCTGAACTGATTTACAGCCGTCAATGTTTACAGGTGTTGTGTGTCAATGACCTGGGATGGGAAAGTTTAATTTTTAAGTTGATGAGGGTTAGTGGAGTAGGGGAGAGAACAGCTGCTCAAGGGGGAGAGGAGGAGGGAAGAGGGAGGAGAGGATGAGGGAGGAGAGGCAGAGGGAAGAGGGAGGAGGGAAGCGGGCTTCAAACACAGTGAGGGAACTGGAGGTAACCCGCACTACGCAAGCTTCATTTGACTCAAGTTTTGGTAGTAGTCTCTTGTGAGGAGCTGTGTGTGTGTGTGTGTGTGTGTGTGTGTGTGTGTGTGTGTGTGTGTGTGTGTGTGTGTGTGTGTGTGTGTGTGTGTGTGTGTGTGTGTGTGTGAGTGTGTGAGTGAGTGAGTGAGTGAGTGAGTGTGTGTGTGTGTGTGTGTGTGTGTGTGTGTGTGTGTGTGTGTGTGTGTGTGTGTGTGTGTGTGTGTGTGTGTGTGTGTGTGTGTGTGGAGGAGCGTCCAGTAGTGAATGTGGCGGGCTTGCTACAGAATAAACACGCCAGAGGCCCCCCCACTACCACCATCACCACCACCACCACCACCACCACCTCGCCCTCACCACAACCTGAGATCTGGGCCGCCTGCGACACCTCCCCAGCACTAAGAGTTACGAAACCACACACATATTACTTTTAGAAGTTTCTAAACCGACTGTTGCAAACTCTATATACACTGACGTCACAGTTAAATCACCGGCAATTAAGGTTGGTTAGCAATGACTGAAGGGATGTTCCACCGGCTCACGGAACTACCTGTTGAAGAGGCTTCACGAGTAATATAGAGTGATCTACAAGGCGTACTGTACAGTGTTTACAAGTCGTCAGCTGATCTACATGAGAAGATACTGTTTACAAACGGTCAGCTGATCTACCTGAGACGCTACTGTTTACGACTGGTCAGCTGATCTACCCGGGAAAAAGAGTGTTTACGACCGGTCAGCTGATCAACCTGAGACGATACTGTTTACGAACGATCAGCTGATCTACCCGGGAAAAAGAGTGTTTACGACCGGTCAGCTGATCTACCTGAGAAGAGACTGTTTACGAACGATCAGCTGATCTACCCGGGAAAAAGAGTGTTTACGAACGATCAGCTGATCTACCCGGGAAAAAGAGTGTTTACGAACGATCAGCTGATCTACCCGGGAAAAAGAGTGTTTACGACCGGTCAGCTGATAGCGCGTTTGATGACGGAGTTCTCTGACCCCGACTGTGATTGCGCAAGATTTAGCAGTACACTGAACTCCAGCACTCACTTCTGTGAATCATAGAGAGGGAGAGACAGAGATAGAGAGGAAGGAGAGGGAATTAGGAAGAACAGAGGAGAGTTCTTGTTGATTAACTATAGTGCGCAGTTTGTCAAGACGTATTACAGAGTTTTGTGACTGTGGGGAGGTCACTTCCAGGCGGGCGGGCGTGTGTGTGTGTGTGTGTGTGTGTGTGTGTGTGTGTGTGTGTGTGTGTGTGTGTGTGTGTGTGTGTGTGTGTGTGTGTGTGTGTGTGTGTGTGTGTGTGTGTGTGTGTGTGTGTGTGTGTGTGTGTGTGTGTGTGTGTGTGTGTGAATGACGATAATGGCGGCACCTGGAGGCAATGTCGGTGCTTTCCAAAAGTCCATTTGGCCTCCTTTGACTAAGTGAAAAACTAATTTGATTTAAGCGCCGATAAAAGGAGTCGAGGAAGAAACCAGGGGAATGAGTGAATGAGTGAGTGAGTGAGTGAGTGAGTGCGCGGCGCACGTGACAGTGGAGGGAGACAAAAGTAGAGCGTGCGACAGCTGTGAGAAAGGTGAGGAATGCGACGCAAGTCAGCTGGAGCGCGGGAAAGATTTTGGCGGGAAAAAAAATCCCGGGTGAAAAATGGCGGGAATGTGTTGAGCGTTTGTCAAGCCCGTCCT